CCTCCTGCGGCCTCCAGATTATTGAAATACGATTTAAAATAGCGCATCAGCGCCTACAGCAACTCCCGGGGGAAGCAAAATGTCGGTGGAGGTGGGGCCGGGGGCGGGGGGGGGGGAAGGCAGGGGAGCTCGCCCTCCCCCAGCGCCGTTCCCGCCCCACAAAAGCAACTCACATCGACTTGTTATCATACCAAAGGCCTGAGCAGGCTCAAAGGAGCCCCTTTCTCTGGGTTTTAGCAACTTAGCCGGCAACAGTCTCGCAATCCTGAGAACAAACACAGCCCCACAATGGCCGGCGTTTTCTCGGAATGCAAATGCTGCGGGCTCCGCAAAGCTGGGTTTCTGTTGCCGAGCCTAATGCCTGCTTTGTGAAACTCGCGTGCAGACCCCGAGATTGACACGGGCGTCACGTGACGGATTAGGGCTCTAGGAAAGTTTTCAAAGAGGCGACAATGGGGGGCTCAGCCTGATCTGATATCTCCCACAGTTTAGCGGGAAAGAAAATCAGGATATATTCTCATATGTAATAGGATTATCTTTTCCATTGCAAGTTCTATACAGCATGTAATTTATTTTTAATTAGGATTATATCTACCAGGAAAGGGAACTAGACTTCGCTGGAAAGTGTAATTCTAAGGATGGATGGGGAGAGGGGTTATTTTTTACCCTTTTAACTATTCAAAAAAAAAAAAAAAATGCCCAGGGCCTATTGTTTTTCCTTCAACAGGCTCACTCCATTGGATAAACCTTCCAGGGAAGTTTGCAGCAAGTGCTCCTCCAAGCAGAGAACAGAGGCAGCTCTTCAGAAGCATCCACTTCATTCTTGTAAGGAAAGCACACTTTGTAGAAATCTCTTAGAATTTCTAAGTCACTGAGTTTTGCTGGTGTTTGCTCTCTAGAAATGCAACCAAGCTCTTTCCTACACTCCAAATGCTAACTTATATATATTTTTAAATGCACCTCCCTTTTTTATTGGGCTGTTGATGCTGGCAGAGTGACTTTTAAAATTTGATTTCAACCACAGAGTAACATCCTTCGTAGCCCTGATTCAAACTCAGCAGTCAGACGAGACAGTTTGGGGGTGAAGGTAACTGTTGTTTAAACATTGATTTTGGATTGATCCCAGTGCCAGATGCTTACAAATCATGGACCATTTCCAAGTCTTGGGCTACTCATCCTTTTTTGTGTTCTGTGTGTCGGGATGCTCTGGGATGTCTGCTTAACCTGATAAGAAATGAAACATAGTCTGTGGACTGCAGGCATTGAATCATCCTGCTTGTGTTCAAATCTGATACCACTGAATTGCTGTGTAACCCTGGGCAAGTTACTTGATCTCTCTGTAAATGGGGATAATAATAATACCTTGTAAAGTTGACTTAAGGACTGTGTAAGAATACAGTATCAGGTACTTGGGAAGCCCTGAACACATGTTAATTATCATTTCCTTTTAAAGCACAAGGAGGTATAATCTAAACCTCTTATTTTACAGGTGAGGTATTTATTCAGAAAGACAAAATACAAAACAAAACAAAAGAACAACCCTCCCACTTCCTGTCTGCTTCTTTGCTTTAGTTTTAACTATCCTTCTGATTCTTTTTTTCCTCCTACCCTTCTGGAAATAACAATAGGTATAGTGGTGGGTGTATAGATCCCCATGGAAGAAGAGACATGGTCATGTGAGGATTAAGTAACTTTAATGCTTTCATGTCATTTCAAAATCTTTTGGAAACTTACTCT